GTGGCTGCTCTACCTTCAGCTACGAGCATTTTATACCGCTAGGAGAGACCAGACCACCCTGCAAAGCCCCCTTACCTGGTTTGACTCACTCTGTTGTCAGAAAGATCCACCTGCTCATGTTATCTCCCTACTGTACCGTCAACTACTTGCAATGAGATTCCAGGGTCGTCTCCCGTTCATGGCAAAATGGGAATCAGACCTGGATGTCATACTTACCGATGAGGAAATCCGAACAGCATGTGTGGTCACTCATAAACTTTCAGTGGCTAGCTCAGCCCAGGAAAAGGGCTATAAAATCCTGACTCGCTGGTATCGTTCCCGACCCTCTTACATAGAATATTCCCTGATAGATCTCCCTCGTGCTGGAGGTGTCTGGGCGCGGAGGGAACCCTCCTACACATATGGTGGAGCTGCCCCTCACTGACACCCCTGTGGACACGGGTCTTCCACATTTACAACCAGGTCATGGGAACCGACCTAACACCGTCCCCTAAAATAGCAATGCGCGGAGGGAACCCTCCTACACATATGGTGGAGCTGCCCCTCACTGACACCCCTGTGGACACGGGTCTTCCACATCTACAACCAGGTCATGGGAACCGACCTAACACCGTCCCCTAAAATAGCGCTCCTCTCGATTCTTCCTGGCTCCCTGGCTTCAGTTAAGAAGGACCTGCTCCGTTTCTTCCTGGCGGCGGCACGCAACATTGTGCCCCGCCATTGGAACACGGTGGTCACCCCAACCGTACAGGAATGGGTTGCGGAGTTGTGTTTGATTATGCGTTATGAGGAACTGACGGCTTCATTACATGAGCGTCAGGCGCAATGTCCAGTACTGTGGGCCCCCTGGATTATCTACATGGGTACGGCGGAATTCCTGGCCTTATAAAGGGTCCAGGTGTCGCTAGTTGGGCGAGCACTGGGATACTGTCTCCATGGCAACTACCTAATGCCCCTGTGGTCCTAACTGGAATGCTAGATCTGATGGAGCCTCCCCTCTCCCCTGTGTATTCCATGTGATGTCCACCCCTGTACGTCCCTTTCCCCCCCAGCTGTGAGTCCCGTGTGTGCCTAACCCCCGTTTGTTATTGTGTATCGTCTAGTCCGTTGGGATGCAACACGGCCGTATCCTCTGCACGCACGCACTTCATGAGAGGTGTGCAATACACAATATAAGGTGCTTGCCTTTTGATATGTGCGACGGCCCCACTAGACTACATGCGACTACAGAGTATTAGTTGACAGAGCATATGCATATCTACCCACTGCGCATGTCCTGAAGAAATGGCATATACATGCATACGATGGGGCTAGGTGGATGACCGGACGTGTCTGTATCATGTTCCCCTGTGTTCTTGTATTTTTGTATTTTTTGTACTTTTGTATATTGCAAACTCGAAATAAAATCTTATTTAAAAAAAAAAAATAGAGAGGTACTGTACTGCACAGGAATGCTGGGAGTGGGAGAGAAGAAAATGTCGGGCTACATAGGGCTCTGGAGTGAGTAGGAAGAGGCGTTGAGTTGCATAGTGAAGAATTCTGGGTAAAAAGGGATGCATCTATACAGGCCACTAAGTGGCACATCAAGAAATTGTCAACCTGGTTTAGAAGGAATTAGGGCTTCGTAGGCACCAGGCACAGTGGGAAGGGGTGCAGGATTGTACAGGGCACCAGGCACAGTGAGAAGGGGTGCAGGATTGAACAGGACACCAGGCATAGTGAGAAGGGGTGCAGGATTGAACAGGCCACCAGGCACAGTGAGAAGGCGTGCAGGATTGTACAGGGCACCAGGCACAGTGAGAAGGGGTGCAGGATTGAACAGGGCACCAGGCATAGTGAGAAGGGGTGCATGATTGTACAGGGCACCAGGCATAGTGAGAAGGGGTGCAGGATTGAACAGGGCACCAGGCACAGTGAGAAGGGGTGCAGGATTGTACAGGGCACCAGGCAGAGTGAGAAGGGGTGCAGGATTGAACAGGGCACCAGGCATAGTGAGAAGGGGCGCAGGATTGTACAGGGCAGCAGGCATGGTGAGAAGTGGTACAGGATTGTACAGGGCACCAGGCACAGTGAGAAGTGGTACAGGATTGTACAGGGCACCAGGCACAGTGAGAAGGGGTGCAGGATTGTACAGGGCAACAGGCACAGTGACGAGGGGTACAGGATTGTACAGAGCAGCAGTTGAGTAGGGTTACAGGATGCTGCAGGGCACGAGGCATAGTGAGAAGTGGTACAGGATTGTACAGGGCACCAGGCATAGTGAGAAGGGGTGCAGGATTGTACAGGGCAACAGGCACAGTGACGAGGGGTACGGGATTGTACAGAGCACCAGGCACAGTGAGAAGGGGTACGGGATTGTACAGGGCACCAGGCACAGTGAGAAGGGGTACGGGATTGTACAGGGCACCAGGCACAGTGAGAAGGGGTACGGGATTGTGCAGGGCACCAGGCACAGTGAGAAGGGGTGCAGGATTGTACAGGGAACCCGGCATAGTGAGATTGGGAACAGGATTACATGAGGCTCCAGGCGTGGTGAGATTGTACCAGACAAGGTTTGGGTAAAAGGTTGGTAGAGCTGTCAATGGTTTCTGGCCTGATTGATGAGGGAGCATGCCTACATACGGTGCTTGGCTGTTTGATAAAGCATGCAACACTGTTTCAGACACCAGACTGATTTGAATTCTTGTGCATAGGGGTGCCACATTGAGTGATACATGCTTTTCTAGAGAGCCAGACTGAAGAGCATTGTAGGAGTACGATAGGCACTAGACTTATTTTAAATGGGGCAAGAATACATTTCATGGATGATCAGTAAATGGAATTGGTGGCCGTGCCCCTTTCTTATTATTTCCTTTTGTTCTGCCAATAGATGAAGCTCACAGTGACAAGGCAAAGGAAAGTATCCGAGCCAAGTGCGTGCAGTATCTGGATCGTGCGGAAAAGCTTAAGGATTACCTGAAATCAAAGGACAAACAGGGCAAGAAACCTGTCAAGGAGTCACAAAATGAGAAGGGGTGAGATATTTCTCTTTGTACTGCTTGGGGTATAAGGGAACCGTATATCACAGGTCACTTGTTCAATTTCCAGTCTTTAGTAAAGGGTAAAATGTAGATATCAAAGTGCTTTCCTCACACAGAGTCATGCTAGACGTATACCTCAATACGGTTAGAAAAAAGGAAAGGGTTAAAATCTCTTTACTGAAATGGGTGGGTGATTTTGTGTTTTATCCTTATTTTAGGGAATCTGTAAAGCAACACACCTCTAAAATACCTGCATCATCTCTGCTGATGTCAGGTGGAGGGCTCAGACATCACCTAACCAATATTAAAGCAAATCTGCGCTTGCCTATCAAGGGCAGAGTAATAGCTTTATATAATTACCCATCCTCTCAGATGATATGTCATTCGTTCCCCTTTTTAATCTTTTGGTTTATGCTTATAAAGGGCTAAGGGCTCTTGTGACATCCCTTGGGCCAATGCTACATCATTGAAAGCAAGGGAAAGAGTCATATGATCCCTCATACCTGAGACAGTTTACATACAGGGGTACAGGTACTCTTAAAAACTAAGACCATATAAAAACAATTTGAAAAAAAAAACAACTAAGACCATACAGGAACTCCTATACACACATGCACGCAAAATCACACACACAGACGCATAAAGGTTGAACTTGATGGGCCTATGTCTTTATTCAGTAAAACAGCAAAAAGTTTTCCTGGCACACTCACAAGCTAGCATGTCTCACCACTACGGTTAAAAACTATCTCGATGGCTGTCCTGGAAGATTCCTGGAAACAGAGTTATCAGGTAATCAACTCATGTTTTTCTGCAGAAAATGTGAAAGCCGCACAGCCGTGCCAAGGCACCTCTGATAGTTTAGAGTTAGGACCGCACTATCAGAGTCTCCATCTTGGAGCACATGGGGCAGAAGATACAATTAGGTGCAGGTTTGTCAGGAGGAAGCCCAACCTCCCTTAAAGGCACAGGGACGCACAAGGGATCCCGCACATCCCAATGGCAGCTGAGACCCGCCATGCATCACTGCACCATATCAGTCAAGCAAAACAAATGACAAACGCACTCATCAATTCGTCACCAGCTTTACAGCAAGGTGCACACGGAATGGGCTTTAAACAGTAAAACAACAAAAGGTTTTCCTGGCACACTCACCAGCCAGCATGCAAAAAAACGTCTTCTGCAGAAAATGTGTCTTTATTCAACCTCGAATACTATGTAACGATGTAATATTGGGTATATCATACTAAAAAGCGGAGTGGTAGCTCAGTGAAAAAAAAAAAAAAAAAAGAATCCGCAACAGAGGTGGGCTAGCAAATGATCCTGTTACTTTGCCCGCTTTAAAAATATCCTTTTACTAGCTACTACATTTCAGTTTTAAAGTGGAATTAAATTGACTTCCCCTCGCTGCCTAGAATGTGCCAGGATTGTACACTGAGCAGCGCATGCGCAGCTTCGAGTACATTCTGAAAGATTGCGGACAAACGGGTAAGTTTGTTTTATTACTGAAGAGACGTAACATGTTTAGTTCCCCTTTATCGTAGTCTGATCAGTGAAAATGTAATTCAGATTGTTTCCTAAGGATTTCTCCCTTTGTGCAGGTTGATCTGAACATTTCAGGGCAGTCATTGATATTCTCATTTTTCTGTCTCTGTAGCAGCGATAGCGACAGTGAAGGTGAAAATCCAGAAAAGAAGAAACTTCAGGAGCAGCTGATGGGTAAGTACAACTTCCTAAAGGAAAAACATGAAGAAAAATGGTTTCGGCAGTGGTTGGGTATGGAGGAGAAGTGACTTCCGCGCAATGTAGACTGCAGTGACATAAGAGGTGGCTCCTAATCATAGAGAAATGGGATAGTGAATTGTAGATCAGAGCAGAGCTTTAAGGAAATTCAGAATGTTGGTACAATTCTAGGAAGAAGATCAGAGTGAGACCAGAGGGATTGATGTCTTCATACCCTTATTTGCTATTTGTCTTACATGACACCTGTACTTAATGAAACTGTGCCCGAAAAAGGCAGGCAGCAGGCAAAGAACTAGTCACCAGAAGTGCTTGTGGTCTCTCTGCAGTTAATCTTTCCCCATTGCTGACTTATCATGCCTTGTCCCGTGTGGCTATCATTCTGATCCTGACCTCACTACTTAGTAAGTCGCTGATCTGCAGCAAGCATGTAAGTTTGGAGTTCTGACTTTGCTAGCTGCATGTTTGTTCCTGGTTAGTCAATGAATGATAGAAATCACCAGCACTCCGTAAATGAAATACAAAAAAATGTCCATTTATTTGGACTAAATGTCACACATATCAAATAATCCAACGTTTCAGAACCACGCAGGGTCCCTTCATCAGGGCAGAAATGTGACGTCATGAAGGGACCCTGCGTGGTTCCGAAACGTTGGATTATTTGATATGTGTTGAATTTCATTTACGGAGTGCTGGTGATTTCTATCATTCACTGACTGCTGTGCACGGCGCCATCCGTGATTGTCACTGCGAGCACCACTGTTTCCACTTGGACCGGGAGCGCTGTGAGTAGTGCAGGGGGAGCTATCGTTTTCTGTTCCTGGTTAGTGATTCACTAGAGAAAACAGGTTCAGAGACCGTGCATTTAAAACGCCAAGTCAGCAGTGACCGCTCCTATTTTTTTGCTGACCCACTAGCTTCAGTCGTTTTTGAGCCAATTACCTGGAACACATAAACCAATCAGGCAAGAGAAAGAAAAGTCAGAAGTTATCTGTATTCTTGTTCTGGTTAGTGACTCTAGGTATTAAAGACTGAGGATTAGTATGACAGCGAGGCAGCTAACATTTGCAGAATGAGAAGCAAAAATAGTGTTTCTTTTAGGAAAGGTTTTCTCTGTGGGTGTGTGCTACCTAATAATAATAATAATAATAATAATAGGTTTGTTGTCAGGGTATCTTCTATTGGCGATAATTGTATTGCTGCTGAATAGGGTAAAATAGCTTTTAAGTGTAATGCCCATGTAAGTAAATCATCACGGCAATAACACTTCATAGGCTAGTGCCCACAGGGCTGGATGATTGTAGGGAGTCAATTCCACAGGAATAGTAAAGATTAAAACTCCAATTTTAATAAAATGTTTTAAATTAACTCTGCACGCTTCTGAGCGGAGCTGGGTCGCTCCCTCTTGAGTACAAACACAGTGATCAGTAAATGCAGAATTTAAAAATTCAAGTTTCAGCAACCATCTTCCATGTTCAGTTATAGGTCCATATACATGATCATTAATCTTCATGTTACAACTTGAGTATATCGTTTAAAGCTCGTCCATCAATAGAAAAACCAGAATCAAATCTATTACCAGATCTGCTTATGTGACTTGGACCTTCCACTTCTTATTGTCACCATTCTGCTATAGGTGCCATCGTCATGGAGAAGCCAAATGTCGGGTGGAATGATGTGGCTGGATTGGAAGGCGCAAAGGAAGCATTGAAAGAGGCTGTGATATTACCTATCAAATTCCCCCACCTATTCACAGGTCAGTGTTTCCCCCATAATACACAGACAACCAGTGAACAAGTGTCTGTAGTTGGCAGTATAGCCTTGCATTGTGTTCTGATAGTGGACATTTAATTTGACCATGAAATGTTCCTAACGCCCAGGCTGTCCCCATATCCAAGGTGGGCACTTCATACCCATGATCCATCCAGATCATGCATTAGGTCTCAGGAGGGGCTACTTAGGAGGCGCAGAGGTTTTAGGTAGATGTATGTAGTAGCTTTTAAAAAATGAAGACATATTATTTGGCTGACACTAGTGACAGGTTCACTTTAATAAAACCTGAGAAAAGGCAAAGAGACACGTCCTCCGGTTGGATTCCAGTTTTCAGTTGTCACCTGACATGCACATGCCAATACAAATCCAGTGGCTCATCAGTATGTGAAGGAAGGATAAGGATGACTGCCCTGGGGCTCAAAAATAAGTCAGCAGTGGCAGCCTCCATATTCTTCTAGAGTTTTAAAGTGAACATGTCCTTCTTGAATAGCTAAAACACAACGGCACCAGAAGGTGCTAAATTTGATCTCTGTTGTCCACAAATGTTTAGTAAGCCTCATGAGAGAGTGCTTTCACTTTGCTGTGAGTGGAAGGGGCTTAGGCCCCATGTCAAGGAAAGTTGAGTCTGCATAGCCAAGGTTAATTATCCTAATATGGGCCACACAGGAAGCTTTCCCGGACAATAGCACCTTGTTAGGCCAGCTCAGCTTAGGCTAGTTAGTGTAGGTGACAGGTTCACTTTAAATCAGAAGTTTCCTTTATGACATGAGTTGTGGTCGTATGACATTTTTATTCTGTTTCCCCCTTATTCTTCTCTTCAGGAAAGCGCACACCCTGGCGTGGTATCTTGCTGTTTGGACCCCCAGGAACAGGAAAGTCTTACCTGGCCAAAGCTGTCGCAACCGAAGCCAATAACTCCACGTTCTTCTCAGTGTCCTCCTCTGACCTGATGTCTAAGTGGCTGGGAGAAAGTGAGAAGTAAGTGGACATGTGGGTTAAAGGACAATATCACCTCAAACCAATCAACTACCAGCTTCAGATATCTTTTTGATCTTAATCCTATAAAAGAATTTTGAGTTCTCCACCTGTCAGCTTCCTCCGACAACTATAACAACACGCATGAGGGTCCTGATCTCATTGTTAGATTTAAAATTTGGTAAAGTATAGCTGGAAGAGCAAGACTACGTCACAGTCTAGAGCTGGCCATGCATGGTACTTGTAGATACCGAATACCGATACCGGAAGTCCCATTAAGAAAGCCAGGCGGCGTGTAATGACTCGCCACCTGGCTTCCTGCTTAGATGGGAAGCCATCCCCATGCTCAACCAGGTGACGAGAATGCATGGAGCCAGCATTCTGGCCAATCATGAAGCCGGGCGCTGTGCAATGACGTGTTGCCCGGCTTCCTGATTGGTCGAGAAGCTGTCCAATCAGGAAGCTGGGCTACACGGCGCCCAGGTTCCTGATTGGCCGGGAAGCCGGCTCCATGCTCCCTCGTCACCACGTGACGAGGGAGCATGGAGTCGGCTTCCCGGTCATTCAGGAAGCCAGGCAGCGTGTACTGACTCACTGCCCAGCTTCATGACACCGGAAGCTCAAGTATTGGGCCAGGCATCGGAGCATTTGGGCGAGTACTCAGCATCGGCACCGATACCAATACTAGTATCGGTATTGGTGCATCCCTACTATATACTATATGTAACTTATGTAACCTCATTCTGTGTACTATTATCCAAATAGAATTTAGATATCTAAAGTGACAGCTCTTCAGCTCTTTCAGACACTGTCTCTAATTGAAACCTCAGACAGAGCTGCATGGATGTGGGGGAGGAGTCACTGTTCTGACTCATTCACGTGTGTGTATGTATATTTCGGCTTATTTGAGCTACTGAGATCTGCAAACAGGCATTTTACAGAGGAGTAAGGAAAGCCTAAAAATAATCCAGCATATTAATAAATATTTTTTTTATTTGAAGGCATGGGAAAGTCATACCTTTTCATATCATGTGTCATGTTACATTCATATTTAGGGTGTAAACACTTAGCTGAGTCATGAGGTGATTGTCCGTGCAGACATGTGTTTGTATTTAAAGCGGTTCTAAACCCTCCGGTTTTTTTTGCCTATATCTACTGCTAGCAAGCAGTGGATATAGGCAAAAAGTTTTTTTTTTTTTTTTAAACAAAACACTTTTAACAGCGGTTTACACTTACCTTGTTATCGTTGCGCGCTCCCGCCCGAGAATCCGAAACTGCTCGGGCGGCCGCAAAGCATCTTGGGGCGGGTGCATGCGCAGTTCGGATTTTCGTCCGGGAGGCGAGCAAGGTAAGTCTATGGACGCGTGCACCCGCATGCAGACACCGCTGGATCGGAAGTGCCAGCAAGCAGAGTGGAGTCAGCGCTGGATTGGAAAGCCGCCACACCGCTGGAGGGACAGATGAAAACATCAGGAAAGAAGAGGAAGATCGGGTTAGGAGAGATCATTTAAGGTAAGTGCTAACATTAACATTGGGGGGAGGGGGAAAAAAATTATCCTTTAATGTCACTTTAAGGCTTGCACAGCTGTGTCATCCATTCACAGGGACCTATGAATGGGTAGAGTCCCATCTGCCACTGTGGCAGAGGGACTCGCATATCGCACCAGCAGCAGGGCTGTGATGTCACCACTCTTGTAGTTCATTGTTTACTTCCTCCAGCCCCATACCAGAAGGTCCGTGCCTCCATACAGACCTAGGGATGGGATGTAAACAATGCATAAGCCTGTGTACTGTACCTGCGACACACTGATCTGGGTTGCAATGCTCTGCAGGCTTCAGTGCAAAAATATAATGGATGTACATGTTTTATTTTACTAGCGCGGGTGCATTTTAATACATTTTTGCAAACAGTGGACTATGCATTTAAAGCAAAAACATATTTTTGTTAATTGTATTATACATCAGAATAGGCAAGGAGATCAAATATAAATAATTATACAATCCTTCATAAATCACTTAATTCCATCCTTGATGTAAGATGTGGACGTAATGGGGGGAATTTATCAAAACTGGAGCAGACGAAATCTGGAGCAGATGTGCACTGCAACCAATCAGTTTATCTCATTTTCAAATCTCAACAGAGCAAACTGAAGAGAGATGCTGATTGGTTGCCTTGGGCAACTGCTCCAGATTCTCTCTGCTCCAGTTTTGATGAATTCCCTTCAATGTGTCATCTTTCTGTGTATTACAGGCTCGTAAAGAACTTATTTGAATTAGCACGACAACACAAACCCTCCATCATCTTCATCGATGAGGTCGACTCCCTTTGCGGCTCTCGAAATGAAAATGAAAGCGAAGCTGCCCGCAGGATCAAGACCGAGTTCCTGGTGCAGATGCAGGGTATGGTGCTCCTCCATTATTGTACAAGCAGACCCAATTCCTCATAGATTGCACACCGCTACTTCTTTAAAGTAGATGTTAGCTCAGACTGACATTATTTAGTTCAGGGGTGGAAAAATTAATATGGAATTTGGTAGCTGAACTCCGGGGAATTGTTTTCTTTAACCCTTGCAGTGGGACTACCCTTGCACTGCAAGGGCTAAGTGCTCGTTTTTGTTTAGGTTCAAAAATAACAAAGTTATACTCGCCCTCAGAGTCGGCTTGCTGTTAGACCAGTCCGCTCCACCTTGCTCCCCCTCTGCTGCAGAGGTCTAAGGTCCCAGAGTTATCACATTCTTTACACTGTGTATTGGATATGAGGACCCCAAGGGACATACTGTATTATTGCTACAGTGGAATCGAAGAGAGGCAAAGGGAACCGATCTAAGAGCAAGCCAGCTCTGAGGATCAGGTGAGTATAGCTTAGTTATTTTTGAACCTAGACCAGCCCCACTGAAAGGGTTAAGAAAAATGTTCCCTGTAGTTCTGCTTTAAGGATTATTGGCGCCTTGGCTGTTGGGATTTGTCCAGCCCTGATCTAGTGTGTTAAAGCACTTTGTAGCAGAAACATGTGCAATGTATCTTTCTTTTCAAAAATAGTAAAATACCCTTTTCACAGTTTACATTTTTTTTTATTATACCCCTTTTCTGCATTTTATAACTGCTGATCTCCTGCAGTCTTTGCAGCCACTTGCTTTTCACATGCACTTCCCCCCTTGGAAGTTGCATATCATTGTTCAAGGTTGGGCTTCTTGGTGGTGACAGTGGCAGAAGATGCCTGCACAGTGAGTGTTGGCACCGCTATTTAGTCTCCACTGCGGGGGCATGTGACAACGCAGGAGAGTATTTGGGATCAGTGGCAGAACAATCGCCATAGCGACCCAGGCGGCCGCTATAGAGCACGGGGCAGGACGAGAAACAAAGGGGTCCTCCTGATGCCGTGTGGGTTGCTATGGCATCTCAGGTTGCTGGCTGTCACTGGCGGCTGTGAGGAGGAACGCGCCGCTGTTCAGATCACTGCCAACCTATCGGTGATCTGAGCAGCAGCGTGTTCCTCCTCACAGGCGCTGCCAAGTCAGTGACAGCCAGAGGAGGAGGCGGGGCCCGTCGTTGGAGGCGGCAGGGCCCGGTGATGCAGCAGGAGGAGGTGGGGCTTGCGGCCGTGGAGGAGGCAGGACAGCGGATCGGGGCTGACGGTAAAAGGTGTTCAGGGGTGTGACCAGCCAACCTGAGACCCTGCAGAGCCCACCATAGAGAGTCTATGGTGGGCTCTGCAGTGTCACTCTCAGGTGGGCTGTTTGGGATATCAGGTGGGCTCTGCATACAAAATTTTGCTGTGGGGCCCTGTGATTTCTAGTTACGACCCTGTTTGAGATGCATTGCCACCCTATAACAGGAAGTGCCCTCAAGTATTTTCATTTTTTATTACAACCTTTGCCATTGCTCGGGTTACAACCAGCTCATTATTTGTCTGGGTTCAGCATAACGCAATGACCGCTCTCCTCCCTCAGGTGTTGGCAATAACAATGATGGGATCCTTGTTCTGGGAGCTACAAATATACCCTGGGTGCTGGACTCTGCCATCCGGAGAAGGTGAGATTGGCATCCACTATTTCAAGCATCTTCATTTTGGTACCAACATGATGAGGAAAGTCAAACTTCAACTCTTGGTGGACCGCCAGCAGATGTTACAACATATGAAAGACAATCATTTTGGGACACTTGATTCTCTATGGTAGGCCCAGCAGACAGGAAGCCACGGCCCACCAGGTTGGAGCCCGTGGCCTGGTGGTTGAGAATCCCTGGTATAAGGTTTCTATTGCTGTCTGTGTTGGGGACACCTCACTTTCTTTTTCAATGACCGGGTGATACTGTCAGGATCAGAAATACTTCTTTCTTCAATTTAGTGTGAAGGGTTAGAACATCTGATGCTGTTTCTTCCTCCCTGCCCTGGTAACCCTGTTGCTGTCTGTGTCTTCCTCTCCTGGTGGGCCCTTTATCCTCATTTCCTATTCTGGTGTCACAGGGACAGAAAAAGAGTGATAGTTCCCCAGTGGGATTATAGACAATAAAAAACTGACAGAAGTTCCAACCCATTTACACACTGAGCCAAAGGTATGCAAAGTCTTAGAGTTTGTTTTCTTTGGAAAATCAGACACAGCTGCACACTCCTCTCCAGTAATGCACACAGCAGGTACTGGCAGGGAGTGGGGGGAGAATGTGGACATCGGTGACGTCGAAACCACCCTGTTGATGCTCCTGGAGGACGAGGATGGGATTGGGGGGAATTACAGTCAATTAGAAGTCGGTTGTAAGTCAGGCAAGTAATGAGAATGGGGCTCCCCCTGGAGGTTGTTGGGGAGAAGGATGGCAGTCGCATGGCGATTCGGTGACTGATGGCAGAAAAGCCTGTCCTCTGCCAGCATGCTGTAGAAAAGGTTCCTTGGAGAAGCAGTGCTCTCTCTGCAGAGGTCCAACACAACCCCTGCTGAGTCAGAGCCAGAACGCTTCAACAGGGACCATGAACTTTTCTGACTGCAGAGCCATAGGTGTAACTATAGCTGGTAGCTAGTTTTAATGGACGGTTTAATTAAGCTTTAACAACAACAAAAAAACTGCAGCACTTAAAGGAGAACTATGGGGTCAGTGCTTTTCCCCATAGTTCTCCTAAGGGTCACGGGAGGACATAAACTAGTGTCCTCCCGTCACCCAAAGCTCAGTATACAGCTCGCGGTATACTGAGACCGCCACAGCCGGGACAGATCCCGACATTACTGTCGAGATGAACTCAGCTGCGTGATAGGCAGAGCCAGCTTTCAATCTAGAGGCAGAGCCAGCTGTACCCGCCCCCTGTCCGGAATGGACAGTCAGCCAGTCAGCGCTGGAGGATCGCAAAGGGGAGGGGGGAATCCCTGCAGGGAGCCATGAGTGACAGTCACGGCTCCCTGCAGGGAGATGATTGAGAAGTGAGCGAGCGACGGTATGTGTTCTCTCACTTCCCGATCTATAGAGCCGACCTGTGACAGTTTAATTGTCACACGTCGGCTCGAACTACGAGGATGAGTAATTTTCACTCACCTCATAGTTCTCCTATAAAGCACCTAGATGTGTCTGCACATACCTGCAGAGGACTCGGAAATCTGCAGCTACAGATGAGTACCAGGCCAATCTTCATCATGACAAAGCTTGTCCATTCCTTCCTTATTGCATCCTGCACAATCATTTTAGCCAGTGTGCCATCCCATCATAGTGTTGGGCCAATAGGAATGCACGGAGGAGGTACCGGCAATCCCTGCAGCACCTAGAAGTACCGCATTTGACCACAGCTGTGGGCTAGAGCAGGGGTAGGCAAATCCAGCCCTCCCTCTGCGGTGCCACTACAAATCCCATGAGGCATTGCAAGCTTCTGACAGCCCCAAGCATGACTCCCAGAGGCAGATGCATGATGGGATTTTTAGTTTCTCCACAGCTGGAGGCCCAGAGTTTTCCTATCCCCCTGTCCTAGAGGTGAAGGGGTCCATTTAAAAAGCAGCAGTGTGGCCTAACTATGGCCATACTGCTTCTCCAAAAAAATAAAGACACATTTATAAAGAACAGTGGTGTGCTGGGTGGCAGCAAAGGTGTTTTCTATATTTCATCTTTTATGAGGCTCTTCTTTTTTTGGGGTGTTCTGCTTTAAGCTTTTCGCTATGGATAATGTGGATCTCTGTTCCTATTGGTTATAAATTGCTCTCCCTGAATCTCAGGTTTGAGAAGCGGATATACATCCCACTACCAGAGGAAGCTGCCCGAGCTCAGATGTTCCGCCTGCACTTAGGGAACACCCCACACAGCCTAAACGAACCCAATATTCGTGAGTTGGGCAAGAAAACCGATGGCTACTCGGGCGCAGATATCAGCGTCATCGTGCGTGACGCGTTAATGCAACCAGTGCGCAAAGTGCAATCCGCCACCCATTTTAAAAAGGTAGAGTGCCAAAAACTGATCCGTTTTAGGATAGCTGTGACTGATTATCATTGTGAAAGATGTTCTGATTGGTTGTTCTTCTGTGTGTGTCAGGTACGAGGTCCATCTCGTACGACCCCTGGTGCCCAAGTGGATGACCTGCTAACACCGTGTTCTCCTGGAGACCCCGGAGCCATCGAGATGACCTGGATGGAGGTACAGGGGGATAAACTTCAGGAGCCTATAGTCTGTATGGTAAGTGCATGTAAGGCCCTCGGTCTGTGTTCTTTCCAAAAGTTTCACGACGATATATAACATATCCCAACGCGTGTTTGCATTGTATGTGGTGGGCCAAAACATTTTTTACATTTTTTTTAAAGTCTTCCCCACTTTAAAAAAAAAAAATGTCTTGGCTTTTTTTTTTTTTTTTAATGTTACCTTAATTTTTTTTTGTTTTGTTCCTACATTCAACTTTTTTGCTATCATATAGGGGGCTAACAATCCCCGTATGTAATAGCAAATATGTGACAGGTCCTCTTTAAGGAGACATCAGGGGTCTGTCAGACCCCTAATGTCACCTAGGGACCTCAAAGAAGCTGATGAATCAGAGATCTGCTTCACCATCTTCTCCTGGCTCTAGGAGAATGTGCACAGTGACACCGGAAGTGATGTAACACACGTAATTTCCGGGTCCAGTGATCCGAGGCCTGCTGATCTCCCTTCGATCTGTCTGGGGAGACCTGCTGTGCTGGTCCGGGAGCCCGCACGGGGGACAGCGGAGCCTGGGGGAACACATTCCGCCGCACAGTACATCGCTTGTATTTAAACAGAAATCGCCTGCTGTTTAAAACGATACCAAGAACACAGCTACAGCAGCCAAGTTCTTGGTGTATTTACTTCAGGACATGATGGTTTTTTTGACAGTGGGCGGTCCTGAAGTAGTTAAGGATTAGGGATGCACCGATACCGATACTAGTATCGATGCCGAGTATTTGGGCGAGTAGTCGTACTCGCCCAAATGCTCCGATGTCTAGCCCGTTACTTCCGGTATTAGGAAGCCGGGCAGCGAGTCATTACACGCTGCCCAGCTTCCTGATTGGCCAGCTTCCCGACCAATCAGGAAGCTGGCCAATGACTTGCTGCCCGGCTTCCTGATTGGTCGGGAAGCTGGCCAATCAGGAAGCCGGGCACCGTGTAATGACGCGATGCCCGGCTTTCTGATTGGACGGGAAGCCGGCTTCATGCTCCCTTGTCACCGCGTGGGAGCATGAACCCAGGCCAATCAAGAAGCCGGGCATCGCGTCATTACACTGTGCCGGCTTCCTGATTAGCCAGAAAGCCGGCTCCATGCTTTCTCGTCACATAAGGACGGCTTCCCTGCTAATCGGGAAGCCGGGTGGCGAGTCTTTACACGCCACCTGGCTTCCTTAATGGAACTTCCGGTATCGGTATTCGGTATTGGCGAGTACCGAAAAACCAGTACCGGCGCATCCCTATTGAGGATAACAGTAGGGGAGGCAGACACTGTTATTTGTTCCTTCCGTTTATTATTATTATTTTTTTTTAATTCATGAGATTTTGAGATCTGAAAAGCTCCACCATTGAAGCTGCGGACAACCTCTTGTGGTCCTTTGGTGGCCATTGTTTGTCGGCTTCTATGGCTGTGCTAAAAGGTCAGGGGTAATGGACACAAATGTTCCCCAGTACCTAAAAACATCACTCTAAGACAGTGGTTCTCAAACTGTGTAACCTCTGGCCCACATTTGTGCTCAGTCATTAAGTCGCGACCCAAGTTGCACTGCAATGTTCCCTGTTGCGGTACTGCGCTTTCCGGTGTAGGCGATCGAACTGTGGGTGGGAGGTGCATTTGGGTCGCCATTACAGAAATTGGAGTGGATCCTCAACCTGGGGTCCAGTGTGGGCTGCTGTGCTGTGATGGAGCTCCATCCATATGTGTATTGCTTGTAACGTGATGTGATGAGCTGTAAGCAATACACATATGGATGGAGCTCCCTCGCGGCCATAGCTCCACCTCAAGTGGACACTCGGCACCGGGCATCATATTTTTGAATGGCTGCTCGGTGGAGGAACTGACTGTGCTTCTCTGAGGGGAGGACGAGGATCCTCTCACCTAGAAAAGTGGAAGGCATGTGGCGACCCACTGGACATGGGGTCGCGACCCACTTTTGGGTCACGACCCACCAGTTGAGAACCAAGGCTCTAAGGGACACTAACTCTCAGCTGACCTTAGAGATATCATGATATTATGTATACAAAGAGGATGATACAGAAGGTAGGAACCCAATCACAGATTGTCATATTTCGAGTGAGTGACCTTGTAACCCACGTGCGGTCTTTTTCTTTGTCCCGCAGTCTGATATGCTGCGATCTCTGGCTACCACTCGGCCCACGGTGAATTCTGAGGACCTGCTAAAAGTGAAGAAATTTACAGAAGACTTTGGGCAGGAGGGATGAACCAGAGTGGGCACCGTGAGGGGAGGGGGCATCATGTTTACTTGCTTGTCTCGAAATGCCCCCCACCGATAACATTGCAGGAAACTACAGGCTCTGGCCATATCCAGGACTCTTAGTGTCCCCTCTGGCCCTACGTTGCCTGGGAGGCTCCACTCACCTTCAACAAGATTCTGTCTGAGGTTTACATTCATTTGCCATCAGTCACCGAATCGCCATGTGACTGCCATCCCTTCCCCCTAACAACCAGCAGGGGGAGCCCCATTCTCCTGACTTACAACTGACTTCCAATTGATTGTAATTCCCCCAATCTCATCCTCGTCCCCCGGGGGGCATCGGCAGGGTGGTTTCCACGTCTCCCTACCCACCGATGTCCACATTGTCCCCCCACTCCCTGCCAGTACCTGCTGTGTGCATTACTGGAGATGAGTGTGCAGCTGTGTAAATATATCCTCTTTGAGTTCATGTTTTGTGTGCTGCTCGTTCTTATGGAATTACACACAGAGTCCAAAACTGCCGGTTAAAGCCAAACTCAAGGCGGATGTTAAAGAAGAACTCCGGGAATTAAAAAGAAAAGTATCCTTGCAGTGGGTCTGGCCCTGCATTGCAAGGGTTAAGTGCTTGCTTTGCTCAAATAATACCCATCTGATCCTTGGGCCCGCCGGTCTGCTAGACCGGTCCCCATAGCTTCTTCTCGCCCCAGGGCTCTGGCGGTCTAAGCCCCAGTGACATAATCACGTCTAATACAGTCCATTCGCTTGCATTAGACGTGAGGACGCTGAGGGACATACCACAGCCAGAGTGGAGGGAGAGAGGGGTGAGTGCCGACCGTGGCAGGACTGAGGATCAGGTGAGTATACTTTATTCTGGCCTATAGAAAAAAAACAGCTGTTAACCCTTGCAGCGCGGGAGTAGTACTCGCTTGAGTAGTTCTGTATTATGCAAGCAGTATAAGTAGCTGAGTTAGACTTGGTATCGTCCTCTTGCAGTCCTTGTACAGCAGTGCTCACAGGAAGAGGGAGAAGCAGCACAAGGAGCCATTCAGTTGTGCTGCAGTGCTCATGTGTTACCAAGGAACATGCGGATAGGAGTGTGACAAAAAGGTGAGCTCATCAGTATTCTGCTTCTCCTTTCACTGGTTGCAGGAGGGGCAAGACCGGTAATTGTTAACTGCAGCAGAGAAAGAAAAACCGGGTCTCCTGTCTTGGTAAGATGGGGCTGTGCTGTGTGACAGAGCTGTGTACATTTCAGGACTGTAGGCACTTTTCCCCCCATTGAGATGGCAACTATAACTGGTTCTTGGATACCCTGAAACAATTGTAGCCTTTGGGGCTCGATGCACCATGATGAAGATGAGATGTGGACTATGCTTGCATTAACACGGAAACCCATGTGTTGCCCCGCCAGGGCAATGTACCGCTGAACACTGGAAGGGGGGGCGCTTGCCCCTCAGCGGGAGTGGGCAACCTAGACACTTCAGCTGTTGTGGAACTACAAGTCCCACAAGGCATTGCAGGATTCTGACAGCCACAGGTATGACTCCTAGAGAGAGAGGCATGATGGGGATTTGTAGTTTCACTACAGCTGATGTGTTGAGGTTGTATACACCTGAGCTAGAATTTATTTTACTTATCTTCTCCCTGCAGTACACAGAGCTCACTCATTCCCCACTCAGTGGCCGGTCTCCAGTGTATGTACATTGACCCTCAGTGATCAGCCCCCACACTATGTACATTAACCACTCAGTGGCTGGTCTCCTGTCTATATTTGTGAAGTTAAGCCCCCCCCCAGTATATGTTAGGTATAGCGTATGTACTTAAACTCTCTTCAGCGGCCACTCTCCAGGCCTATTTGCAATAAGTGGTCAGTCCCTATGCTATGTGTCAACGCTACAGAGGCCAGTCCCTAATGTGTAACAGCTTTGTTGTAAATCTCCAGCCTGTGTGCATTACCTCCTTTGTGGCAGTGGTCAGTCCCCTGTCAATGTGCATTACCCCCTCAATGTGCATTACCCCCTCAGTTGCCAGTCCCCTGCCAATGTGCATTACCCTCTCAGTGGCCAGTCCCCTGCCAATGTGCATTACCCTCTCAGTGGCCAGTCCCCTGCCAATGTGCATTACCCCCTCAGTGGTCAGTCCCCTGTCAATGTGCATTACCCCCTCAGTGGCCAGTCCCCTGCCAATGTGCATTACCCTCTCAGTGGCCAGTCCCCTGCCAATGTGCATTACCCCCTCCCCGGCCAATGCCCTTCCCCGCCTCGGTGGCCAGTCCCCTGCCAATGTGCATTCCCCCCTCAGTGGCCAGTCCCCTGCCAATGTGCATTACCTCCTCAGTGGCCAGTCCCCAGCCAATGGCCATTACCCCCTCAGTGGCCAGTCTCCTGCCAATGTGCATTACCCCCTCAGTGACCAGTCCCCTGCCAATGTGCATTACCTCCTCAGCATCCAGGCCCCAGCCAATGTGCATTACCCCTAACCCAAAGAGGCATCTGGTCTTTCCAAATGGACAATGGACCAAGCTTCCTGCCACCTGTCATCCAGCATTGTTTGTTAATTATGTTAATCACACATTAGTCACTGGCTGCTTTATAAACATGTGGATCCGGTCTATGGAGAACAGTGCGATGCTGCTTGGGAACAGCACTTTGTCAGCATGCTAATACTAATGATGATGAACTCTATTGTTAGGTATGTATGTATGTACTGGGAGTCATGCCTGTGGTTGTCAGAGCCTTGCAATGCATCATGAGACTTGAAGTTCCACAACAGTTGGAGTGCCGAGGTTCCCACCCCTGATCTATATTATGGGGTGTACTTCTCTTGTACAGCCACTTCTATCATAAAGTGTATGTCCAGGAATGACTCCCTATCTCCTTCTCCCCCCTGAAATCATGGCACAGCATTATTTTATAGTTTAACTTGTTCCTGATGCAAAAAACGTTTTTGTTTTTTGCTATACTTCCTGTGATGTCATTATTAAACGTTTTGAAGGGTTGACTGCTTGGTGATCAGTTCCAATCAACACAGACACCCCCCCCCAGAACTACATCTTCCAAGAACCCTTTCCTTACACACTATGGGCTTCATTTATGAAACTTCTGCCCTGTGTGTAGCTGGAATGTCCTATACTCCTTAGCACTATCTAGGGGTGCTAAGGCCCTGCGAATGGCATCCACCCAGCATAGATTTATAAATGAAGCCCAATCTGTACACAGACTCTTGGGGAGAGTTAGGCAAGTAGTGTTGTTGTGCTGAGAAAGAAAACCAAAACTGGTATCATACCTGTAAGTTTCCTTTCTTGATGCCTATCCCTGTCAGCGTACTGATGAGTTATCATTCCTAAGCTGCCCGGTAGGCACCAGGAAACCAATGTCTGCATGTAGAGAGGGGTGGGTGATAGGAGGAGTTCTGTAGTCTAGTAGACAGGGCTGGCAACACTGGGTTGGTTTCCAGTGCAGAAGAACCATTATGTTGTCAGCCTAAACAAGGAGTTAGGCGCTCCCTGGATTTCTGGCAGACCAACCGTCCTTGCAGCATTTTTAAAGGGATAAAAGAGGGGGAGATGTACTCCCATATTTTGTATTTTTGCCTAGACATATACTGTAATCCCTTCATGGATGGGTAGACCTATGCAAGTAGGATGGCAGAGCTTCGTGTCTCATCTATGGAGTTTGTAAATAAAGTTTGAAAAGTCTTGACTTGCCTTATGATGGCTGAGCGGTTGTCTGTAACATTGTGGACTCAAATGGATGTATCTAGGACTCTACTGGTGGTATTGCTGAGGCCTTCATCTCCTTCCATATCACTTTATATACCAAGAAAGCTCAGCACACTGAGACAGACTGAACCCACTTCCTCCCGGACGCGATGCTGCCAGTCACTGTTGCTCATACCCTCTCTCACGTTATAGTACCACCAGTGGCTGTGGGATGGTGTACATTCTTGAAGACGAGGAGTGCCGGGGCGCAGCAATTGGCCGATTTAGTAGAGTATCTAAAAACCCCTGTGAGTTTATCTTGTGCTGCCTATGTCCCATTGAAGGGATTTCTCTTCACTTCCTGTAAAAAAAAACTCAACTCAACAACTCCCAGCAAGCTGTGCGGCAGAATGACGTGTAATGAGAGCGCCAGAGGGGAGAGCTCTGGCTGTGCAGGCGAGGCTGCCTGGCAGGGTGAGTGTTGGCAGAGGCTGTGTGATCGCAGGGTGATGGAGGGAGATGACACATTGTAGGTCAGTCATGTTATGTGTCCTGCAGAGCAGAGGGAAGCCAGGGAGCTCTGCACGGCTCAGACATGTGCTCCCTGCTGTGTGTGTGTCTGTGCAGTCATCTCACATTGAGAGGTCATGTCATCTGATTACTGGCAGTGATCTGCCATGTGCAATGTCAGGTAGACCGGATTTCCAGTGACTGATCCTAGGAGGGGGGATTTTGTGCCTATTCCTTAGTTTTCAAGATTAATCTCAAGTTGTTTTGCGATTCAATTCATGCTGATCCTTCTGAGTCACTTATCCATGATAAGCAAAAATCAATTCTGACTTTCTTTCATATACCTTGCTGCATGCTTGTTGAGAGTTTTCAGAAGGTGGTCAGCAAAGGCAGCCCCAAATATTTCTCCAAGTACCATTTTCTTTAGAGCACACCTATAGTAAAACAACAACGTTCCCCCACCCAACCCATCCTGTAGTCCAGTAGGCTCCCTCCAGTGCATGCAAATATTACTACTGCACCCATCTGGCACTCCTATCCTTGCTGGTAGAGTAGCACCCTCCAGTGCCCACATATATTGCCCCTGCATACATCTTCCACTCCGATGCTTACTGGTACAGTAGGCATCCTCCACTACACATGTTTTGCAACTGAACCCATCTGCCAATCCAGTGCTTACCAGTAGAGTAGGCATCCTCCAGTGCCCACACATAATGCCCTTGAACACATCTGCCCCTCTGATCCTTACCAGTAGAGTAGGCACCCTCCAGTGCCTGTATTGCTGCTGCACCCACCTGTCACTCCAATCCTTACCAGTAGAGTAGGCACCCTCCAGTGCCCGCATATAATGCCCCTACACACATCTTCCACTCTGATGCTTACCGTACAGTAGGCACCCTCCAGTGCCAGCATATAATGCCCCTACACACATCTGCCACTCCGATGCTTACTGTACAGTAGGCATCCTCTAGTGCCCACATGTATTGCCCCTGCACACATCTGTCGTTGCGATGCTTACCAGTAGAGTAGGCATTCTCCAGTTCCCGCATATATTACTCCTGCACCAAGGATGGACAAATGCCAGGTAGCAAATGCTCCTTAAAAATAAGCTGGTGGGTAACTTTTAAGGTTTTCTCTAACTGTTGCCAATGGAACTGGCTCCTGGATTGGGCAGTCTGGCTTGTGAATTCCATATGAATTAGCTTACCCCTGGCCTTCAATCAACTGCTGATCTGATTCTTACAAGTAGAGGAGGCACCTTCCAGTGCCCGCATGTATTGCTCCTGGACTCATCTGGAGCTCTGATCCTTACCAATAGTAGCCACCCTCCAGTGCCAGCACATATTACCCCTGCACCCATCTGCTACTCAGATCCTTAGCTCCCCTGCAAAAAAAAATGACATTCTCTGAAAGTAATTTTTTGCCTTTTGCTATTTACCAGGCTTGCCCCATGTGACATCACTCAGACCTGACAAATGGCCGCTGCACAATGTGAGGGCAGGGGAGCGAACCCTTGCAGCAGGATTTTCACCTGGGCACCAATGGCAGGTATTGGAGGGTGCCTAATTATGTACTGCAGCAGCCTTTCTCAACCTTTTTACCTTGGAGGAAACCTTAAAATAAATTAGGGGTTTCAGGGAACCCCTTCTGAAAATGATTACACCTAGAGCTCATGGACCTCTTGCATTAGTGGTCAGTGGAGTGCTCCTTTATATCGGTGGTCAGTGGAAAGGTGCTTCCCTACTTTGGAAATATTAGGGAAAAAAAGTTTCCCTGTACAATGGTGGTCACTAGGATGGGTGCCCCCCTTAAATTAGTGGTCAGCGGGGAAGATGAACACTTACAATGATGGTCAGTGGAAGCAATGCCTTGTTATACTGCTGGTTCTTCAAGCAACCCCTAGCAGTCTGTGGCTGAACCCTGGCTGAGAAAGGCTATTCTACAGGCATGGGGGATTCATTCTAGTACAGGTTTGCCTTGAAGTGAGATTAAAGTATAATTTATTCCCCCTCCCCCC